GAGCAGAGAGCAAGAGTAAAGACAAAGATGGAGGCATCCCCAGGTTCCTTTTTATAATCTTGCCCATGTAGAGGGAGGAAAATCCATTGTTCTCCTGAGTGGTAGACCTCTCAAACTGGAGCTGATCACATGATCAAGCAACCTGACCATGTCCTTTAGGCAAGAAACCATGGTGTGCTTGCTGGTCTGCAGGTTTCAAGCCACATTCCTTGGGTGTTTATTGGCAGCCCTTGAGATCCATTGTCCATGCAGCATCATTATTAAGCAAAGCTATTCACTGAATAACCATTTCTCATAATAGGTGGTCGATGCCTATTGCTGTCTCTCAGACAGACATTTAAAATACAAGTACAGAGCCCATATTTATAACTTTACATACAAAAAAATCAGGCACGTATATGAGTAGCATACATAGGATCAGCATAAGCTTGCGTTGGACACCTAGACACCTCTCTTGGCCCACTTTGCACATAATTTGGGGCAAACACACAACAGTGGGTGCAACAATGATCTGCCTGGTCACATTAAAATCCAGTAATGTGACATCTGTATTCCAGTCATGATTACTATTCCACCATGTTTCTGCTATTTCCTATAATATCTGGTTTCAATTCCTGAACTTGTAGTTCTAGTTCTTCCATCTTGTTATCTACCTTCCTTGCAGTGGTTGACTTCTTAGTTGTTTCTGCTTGGCTTCACCCAGATTCTGTAGCTGGTTGAATAGTCATTCTAATACCAGTATCGTCTACTTGACTGGTATGGCCATTAGTATCATTTCCTCTTAATGTCTATTCTCCTACCCATTGCTGTTTGTTTCTCCATTGCTGTATCCATCCTTACTTGATTTTTCCACCTGGTTAATATTCAAATCAGGCATAAGGATTACATGAGATCTCCCAATTAAATTTTCTATGTGCCAGCCACACCTGCACAATGTAAAATTTAACTTTAGTGCTCACAGTTTTATCAGAACTTTAATTTGTGTGAGGTTGCATTAGTATTTTTCAGTGTTTGGGGACCTGTCCATTTAGGAATAGAACTAATTGTATAGTGTGGGTTTTGTTTTTTGAAATAATACTTACCACTAAAGTTCTGTGGCATTCTAAGTCTAAGAAGCATGCTTAGCATTGAACGTGTATTTTTCCTTACATTCTTCCTATTGTAGTAAGTTAATGTGCACTCTGAACCTCTTTCAGACTTGCCAGATTTTGTGCTGGGGCATTGTCTAATTCTTTTTTTCTTTTTGTACCAAGATTTAGGAGACTTGAAATTGTTCAGAGTTTTTTATTTCTAAAGCTCTGTCAGGGCAAAAGTTTGAGTAAGCCTCTGAGATTTCAGTATTGGCATCAGAGGTAAAATAAGTATTCCTTTCTCAAAACATAGTGAATGCAAGTTATACTAGTAAGCTGACATTCAGTACTTTTACTTGCACTGTCTTGTAGGTGACACACATTCGTATTAAACAAAACAGATATAAATATTGCTTTCAAATCTGTGGTATATAATAATGCACACACCTGGCAAGCTACAATTACACTGACATGACAACAGTACTTGGTGTTCTAATAATATATTTTACTCTCTTCCCCCATCAGCCTTTTATTGCGGTTCACAGATGATACGTTTGACCCAGAACTTGCAGCAACAATTGGTAAGTGTGTGCTAACACTACTTAATTAAAATTGAAACCATCATAAGTAGAAGGTACTGGCTTGCTGTTCTTGCACACAAATAATGAGATTCATCCTCATCTGTTCTTCAGTAAGGGTGTGTCTAGACTACATGCCTCCTTCGACGGAGGCATGTAGATTAGCCAGAT